GGAATCTCAGAGGGAAGGTGGGGTTGGGGGTGGAGAGTGGGTGGGGCGAGATTAACAATAGCCCATGCATATGCATAGCCCATGGACATAGACAGTAGTGTAGTGAAGGCCTGGGAGGGGTGGGTGTGGAGTGGAAGGGGTCAATGGGAATAAAAAATTGGGGGGGGGGGGGCATCTGTAATACTTTCAACAATCAAGATAAGTTTTAAAAAATTAGGAAATTTTAATTTATTAGAAACATGTTGCTGTACATCTTAGAATCTTAAGCTGAGAGAAAATTCAAGAGATCATTTCACTCTTTTTCTGAGCTTCTGCGCATTTTTACCTTAAAATTACTGTGAGAAAGAAAAGGTATCTCTTTTGTTGTGAAAGTTCTGGGAAGTAGATCAGATTAGAGTTTCGGTTTTCAGTACAGCTGTGATTAAAATACATCTTTTGTTCTTAAAAGTTTTGTTCTTTCAAAACATCAGAAATACCTTTCCCCCTCTGAGGAATGCAGATTCTTGTCTCACAGAGTTGTAGGAAGCATTAGATGGAAAAGCTGTATGTAGTGCCCACCAGAGGTCTTCTAAGTTTAACTACACATTCAGACTCAACACCACCACAGGCCACATTTCCTGCCACCAGGGCCGCATCAGGAGTTCCTCTGAGCAGGCGTCTTGCAGCAGTTCAAACAAGTGACGGCTCATATACCTGTATGGGGACTGTAGACTGCCCATGTGTATGGTTCTAGATCAGTGATGGCGAACCTATGACACGCGTGTCAGAGGTGACACGCGAACTCATTTTTTTGGTTGATTTTTCTTTGATAAATGGCATTTAAAATAAATATCAAAAATATACGTCTTTGTTTTACTATGGTTGCAAATATCAAAAAATTTCTATATGTGACACGGCACCAGAGTTAAGTTAGGGTTTTTCAAAATGCTGACACGCCGAGCTCAAAAGGTTCGCCATCACTGTTATAGATACAAAGGTCAAGATCCATGTTGTAGTTGCCCACAAAAGACTGCATTTGGGGAAGTCCAACGCATGGCATGCTCATCAGATTTTTACAGCTCATTCATATTTCCTACTAGTACAAATGCAAGATACCAAGCAGGGATCGTTTTTTACAATAAGCAGTGTTGCCTAGCAATATAATTCATGTCTACTATCTACTTGGCTCCCAGAGGAACAGAACTAGGTGGTTAAACCAAAGTTCAGATTCTCAAGAAGGCAAGGAAATGATTTGTTAACTCTTTCATCTGAGTATGCAACAGACCCAGCCAGGGACCTCACATATTAAAGTTATCAAAATATGCTTGCTCATTCCTTGAACAAATACTTAAGAGCTTACACTATGTGTCAGGCACTGTGCCCGACACGAGGATGCAGTGGTGAGTTAAACAGATGTGGTGCCATCTTCATATTGTTTCCTCCACCCAGTGATGCCCTTAATTTCTTCCATTGCCTAGAGAACTCCTATTTATCCTTCAGATGTCAGCTCAGATGTTCCTTCTTCTCTGAAGTCCATGTATACTCTACCCCTCTAGCACTTTGTACATATTGCCCTGAGTTCATGGATTGGTTTTGTGAATCCATAAATGAATCCTCTAAAGTAATACATCAATTTTGTGTGCATGTGGGAATGTATGTTTGAAGGAGCTATGAAGCTTTCATCAAATGTTCAAAGGAGTTTGAGCTGTCCCCTCCGCCTCTGCCCTATAAGAATTTAGAACAACTACTGTTATGCGCATTTATTATATTATGATTTTATTATTTGTTTATAGGTCTGTGTCTCCTACTAGAACATAAGTCCCTTGAGAGAAGAGACTGTATTAATATTTTTGTCAGCAGAATGCCTGGTTCATAGTAGACTTTTAGAAAATGTATGTTGAAAGAATCGTTTCTTTATATTTGTAACAAGTTCAGCAGCTTGAATAATGCTAGTGGAGCATCATTTTCTACTTTGAAAGGGAACGTTTTGCCATATATTAAACTAAAATTAGTCTTTCTTGTTCTCAGCTCTGTCCTCTAGAGTTCTAAATTAAATGTCTTCCATATTGTAATTGCCCTTTTATGAGACTCATGGTTGAGTGGGGAATCAAAGAAAAAGGAAATGATTAAAAAATGATACATTTGCATCTTAAATATTTTAATTTAAAACATGCAAATGTACATTAATTTACTAGTGTTCTATTATGGAACCAATATCTTTCTGTTGAATATGACTCCACTGTTGTGTAGCTTTTTTCACTTAAGCCATCAAAAATTCATCATTTACAACTTCCAGGTTTCTTTAAAGTGAAATGAAAAATTGTTGAAACAATCTGATACCAGAATTTTTCTAGATTTTTTTTCTTTGTCTCCCTCTCCCCAGTGTTCTATAGTTATATATCCTGCATCCTTCCAGTGATTTTCATTACAACTAGCTTTCATCTAGTCTGAAATCTTTAGTTTTTAGAGGAATAGCAACAACACATATTTCTTTGGATTACATGCTATTTAAATTATGTAACTAGTATAGCATGTATAAGTGGCATAAATAGGTCTGTGATCAAACAAAATTGACTTTTATTAAGTACATAGTTCAACAGGTAGGAGCGAAGTGTGTAAGTAGTCAGCATGCTTTAAGCTTCACAGTGCTCATAGACATTAGAAAGAACTTGTTTCTCTGCTCGGTTTCTCTCAGGATGAATTATTTTGAAATTTTCTTGTTATCCTGCTCTCATTTCTTCTCCCCTTAGACGACTGATCATCCTAACTTAGAGTAGAATGGAAGTAAACCATCTTTGGCTTTCCTCCTGGTAAAGTCTCAGCTGTCTGTTGTTGTCCAGCAAATAAATGAATCTATTAAAGCGCGCGCACGCGTGCGCACACACACACACACACACACACACACACATACACAACCTGGTAGCTAATATAAGGGACTACTTAATTCTAAGGATGTTCTAAGAATAAAAAATAATGGCAGAGTAGTGCTTAATTTTTCTCCCCTTGAAAGTGGCCTGGACTTTATGACTCGCTTCCAAGTGATATAGGAAGAGTATGCAACGGGAGAAATAGTGGCTTTATTTGTGGAGAAACCTAGCAGATACCATCTTAACCAAGCGATCAAGATTAGCATCACAGGGATAAGTCATGTTGATAAGGTGTACCCTCTGATATGATGTGATGAGAAGTGCACTTTACATCTGGTATGCTTCCCCGGAACCCATAACACCAGTCTAATCTTGAGAAAATACCAGACAAACTCAACTGAGGGAGAGTCTACAAAATACTTGAATGGTAGTTTTTAAAAATCTCAAGGTCCTGAAAAATAAGGGAAGACTGAGAAATTATCACAGATCAGAGGAGACGAGGGCACGTTGGTGACTAAATAAATGCAGTGCGTTATCATGAATTGGATCCTGGTACAGAAGAGTTCATTAGTGGAAAAACTAGGGAAATCCAGATAAAGTCTGCACTTTGACAACTCTCCCATGGTTATGTAAGATGTTAGCATAAGGGAGAGCTGGCTGAAATGTGTATGAGAACTATCTGTACTGGTTTTGTACCTTTTCTGTAAATCTAAAATTACTCCAAAACATTTATTAAAAATAGTGGGCGAGATCATAAAAAACAGGCTTAAGTGATTTGAAATTTAAGATGTGAACTAAATTAAAAGGCAATAACACAAAAATATTTGTCACTGATGTTAAACAAAGGACTGATATTCTTAACATAGAATATACTTTTACATATTATAAGAATAGACTAATACCTCATTGGAAAATAATCATTGATCACAATTCACAGAAGAAACAGTGATCAATAAATATGAAAGCCAATTCAATCACACGAGTAATTAAAGAATTGCCAATTAAAGCAGTATTGGAGCCCTGGCCAGTGTAGCTCAGTTGATTGGAGTGTCATCCTGTACACCAAAAGGTGGCGGGTTTGATTCCCAGTCAGGGCACATACCTAGGTTAAGGGTTTGATCCCAAGTCAGGGCATGTGCAGGAGGCAACCAGTCAATATTTCTCACATCAATATTTCTCTCTCGCTCTCGCTCTTGCTCTCTCTCCCTTCTTCCCTCTCTCTCCCTTCCTCCTTCCTTTCCTCTCTCTCTAAAAATAAATAAAAATTTTTTTAAAAAGCAGTATTGGAAACATTTTCACCCATTACATGAAAAAAATTATAGTATTCAATTTTGAAGAAGGTAAGTGGAAGAATTATAGATTGGCATAGCCTTTCTGAAAAGCAGTTGGCCAATATAGGTATTGGGTTTAAAAATATGCATACCAGTTGTGACCGGGTGCCTCAGTTGGTGGAAGTGTCATCCTGTATACCAAAAGACTGCAGGTTCAATTTATGGTCAGGGCACATACCCAGGTTGTGGGTTTGATCCCTGGTCAGGGTGCATGTGGGAGGCAACCAATCGTGTTTCTCTCTCATATCAATGTTTATCTCTTTCTTCCTCTCTCGAAATTAAGTGAATTGTGATCAATGATTATTTTCCATTTGTGCTTTTAATCTCACACAAGATTATTTTCCCATAAGAATGTTCACCACAAGATTGTTAATAATGAGAAGCTCAAAACCTAAATATCTAACAATGAGGGAATGATCTAATAGTTTTGGCATTCCTCGGGAATAGAATGGAGTCATTAAGAATCACGATTATAACTAAATAAAACAACGAAAGCAACATGCAGTTTGTACCTATTCTCTGACTTTATATGCATGTGCACAGCTTTGTCTCTTGAAAGGGTGGCCAGGAAATATGCCATCTTGTACAAAGCAGTCACTTATCCTTGGGTGGTAAGGAAAGGAAGATTTTTGTTTTCTTCAAATCTCTGTCTTTTCAGAATTGTCTGTAGTGAGTTGTATATACTTGTGTAATGTAGAGGGAGAGATAAACACTGCGGACAATGTGATTAATGAGAGGTTTTCCATCTTTCATGCTGACTTAATTAAGCAACTGTCACATTTCTATTTGGTTCTGTAAAAAATGGTTTTCCTCTTTCCACTAGGAAGCTCCTCAGGGTGCTCCCGTTGCCGATGGAGAACTGGGGAGCTCTAGTTGGCGAATGGTGTTGCCATGCGGACCCCTTTGCTAATAAGCCCCTTCATCCGCGAGAGAACGACTGTCTTATTGGAGACGCTTTCTACTTGGTGAATTTAAGAAGTGATACGTGGCAGCCAAGTCCTCAAGTAGCTCCAGGGGAGATGCACTGTCCGCCTTCCGAGAACCATTTTAAATCGGTAAAATACCTTTTCAGAATACTTGGTGCTAATTTAGAGGTTGGCTTAGAAACTGGCTTCTCCCATCTTTTCTTAATTCAGGGTATGTCACACAGACTGTTCTAAAGACCGAAACAGGCCACAGGGGCTGAAGGACGGAGGGGAGAGAATTTCTTCATGTCTAGAATTGGGAATGTTACCATTTTACAAACCCAAGTGCCCTACTTACTTTCTTGTTTTGAGGACGATATTCCATATCCATGTACGTTTTAGCCTCATCAGTCTGATTTAAATTAAAATTGTTCTCTTGCTCCAGCATAGGTTCATAGTTAGGTTCCTAGTCTAGACTTCTGCTCACGTCATAAAAGCAGATGCCAGGGAAAAGAGGAAATGCCGGAGCCCAAGCATGGAAATGAAGCTTGTGCTGCAGGCTCTCCTGGTGGTTGACAGCATGAGGTCAGGTGGCTCTTGCTCTCCAAGTTGCTTTAGGGAGAAGGCAATTTCCTCTCCCCGCAGAGAACAAGTGGTTTACCTTATTTTAAAAGAAAATCAATGGCATTGACTTGGTCCTGTGAGAAATCATTCTCCTGATGGCAGGTCAATACAGATGTGATTGAAAAGGCAAAGAACATCATTGCCAGAGAATTTTTATCTTAACATCTGCTTATTGGTAGGGACAAAGGCCATGTATGTTCAGTTTCATCTAGAGCTCATTTAATTTTTGTAATGAGAACTGGGCCACTTCAGGAAATTTGCAGCAGCTGGGCAGCTCTTGGGTTGAAAGTTAGTTTATAGAACTATTTTCTATTTTGAGGGGGATTAAGGAAGTTCCTCAGATAACAAGGTTAAGTTGTTATAATTATTTACATGTCTCACCTCTCACCGTAACACAGATCCCTTTACCTAAATATGGTTCGTTTTAAATTATAGTATGTTATTCTATAATGTTAAAAGATAAATGGTAAGAAGTTAATGTAAATCTGTTATAATTATGTTTAATATGGTTTTATTAAAATATTTTATACTAAATTTATATACTAATACTATACTGTTTTATGTATTTTAACTTTGATTTTTATGATTAAGCTATAAATTTTTTTAAAATGTTTGGAGGGCATGAGTGGAAGTGGAGTGAAGATTAAGAGAAAGCATGAATTACACTTTTTTAGATAAATTCTACACTATTGACATATATTCTTCGCATTTATATCTTTATCAGTTATAGGATGCCACTTACAACAATCTCTCTTAATTGCGAACAACTATACTATTTGTTAAAGGAAGACCCTCCTTATTCAAACACTATGGTTTTTAGTATCAAGGAGACTGGGAAATTACTATCATGACAAGCTACTGTTGGCAAGATTGTTTTCAAGGTAGCCTGGATGGAAGTTTCACTTTAATTGCATATTGCAGCAGTCCAAAGCGTATGCCCGTGACCAAAATAGTAACATAAATTTAGAGGGACTGCTTAAACAGTGCTCTCAAGGCTCCTGTGGGAACAAGGCTGCTCTGCGCTGTTGAAAACCTGTTTCTCATACCACCCAGTCTAGCCGTCCAGCAGGGTTTTGAAATGTCACACGTTGACACAGCATCCTAATGGTATCTCTTGGGAAACGTTTTTTTTTTGTGTGTGTGTGTTTTTTTTTTTTTTTTGGCAAGACAACATCAAGGGTCCTTAGAAATGGAAACAACACAAAGGAAAATAAAAACGGGGACAGGAGTCTAATCCCCTCTGAGCAGCAGTGCCATCTCTCAGATATATTGATTTAATTAGTCACAACAGTGTCTCTGATGTTTGCTCTGCAGAGTTCCCACACTATTAGGCTGTTTCCTTGCACAACTTGCTTTAGTCTTTCCTTTAAGCACAGGTTAAGAACAATGTATTACAAAGCAGAGTTTCTCTTTAAATAAGATTAAAAGTATTATAATATTTTAATTAAAAAGATCTGATTTTTAAAACAGCGTAAACACACACATATAATGTCCATGATATTTCTTCCCTTCAGTATCCCCATAGAGTGTACAGTTTGTTGTTTGTGCCTGTGTTAGCATGGCAGTGATATATACCTTTTGTTTTCAAAAGATACCTGCTGAGATTTTCCTGTTTTTGCACTTGTGTGTTATCTCTTGTGCTATATTTTCATGTCTACCAGCATAGAAGCTTTGCGTCTTTTAATAGAGTGGTAAGGATGGCACCCCAACCATTTTATAAGATTCATAAAATTATTCTCAAAAGTATGGCCACATATACGACTTCACCATATTTTTTTAAAGAACAAATTAAATTGAACTTCAGTTATATTATAGACTAGAAGCCCAGTGCATGAAATTTTGTGCACTTGGGAATTTTGTGCACTTGGGGATGGGGGGGGGGTGTCCCTCAGCCTGGCCTGCACCCTCTTGTAGTCTGGGGCCCCTCGGGGGATGTCAGACTGCACATCCCTCTTGCAGTCCGGGACCCCTCGCTCCTTACCCCCCGCCTGCAGCAGAGGCGGGAGAGGCTCTTGCCACCACCATTGCACTAACCATCTATGAGCCTGGCTTCTGGCTGAGCAGCGCTACCCCTCTAGGAGCACACTGACCACCAGGGGGCAGCTCCTGCATTGAGCGTCTGCCCCCTGGTGGTCAGTGCACGTCATAGCGACCAGTTGTTCTGTGTTTGGTCAATTTGCATATAAGGGTTTTATTATATAGGATGGCAAGTATGACAACCAGCTTTACCTTTTTTCCTTTCCTGGGGTACTTATCAATTATTTATTGATTTGGGTAATGTGTTTTGTTAAATCCATGAAGATGTCCTTTTTTATTTTCTTAGAATGATGTGTTGGACTTTGTAAACATTCACCAATGTAAACAGAACAGAATTCTAAACTTCAGTATACCAATTGACTTGATTCACAAAGTATTCTTTACCTGTCCCTTTTATTATTATTTTATACTAGAGGCCCGGTGCACAAAAATTTGTGCACTCGTGGGGGGGGGAGGTCCCCCAGCCCGGCCTGTGCCCTCTCACAGTCTGGGACCCCTCAGGAGATAATGACCTGCTGGCTTAGGCCTGCTCCCGGGTGGCAGAGGGCAGGCCCAATCCCTAAGTGCAGCCCCTGGTCAGGCTCAGAGAAGGGCCGATTGGGGAGTTGGGGCGCCGCTCCATCATGCACAGAGCAGGGCGGATCAGGAGGTTGCAATGCCACCCTCAGTCACGCTCAGGGTAGATTGATTGGGGGGTTGGGGCACCGCCCCCTGTCACACTCAAGGCAGGGTCGATGGGGAGGTTGCGGCGCCACCCCCTGTCATGCACAGAGCAGGGCCGATCAGGGGGTTGGGGCGCTGCCCCCTGTCACTCACAGAGCAGGGCCAATCAGGGGGTTGGGGCGCTGCCCCCTGTCACTAACAGAGCAGGGCCCATCAGGGGGTTGAGGAGCTCCCCCCTGTCACTCACAGAGTAGGGCCCATCAGAGGGTTGAGGAGCTCCCCCCTGTCACTCACAGAGTAGGGTCGATAGGGGAGCTGGGGCACCGCCCCCTGTCACACACAGAGCAGGGAGGATCAGGGGGTTGGGGTGCTGCACCCTGTCACACTCAGGGCAGGGCCAATGGGGAGGTTATGGCTCTACCCTGTCACACACAGAGCAAGGTGCCGGGAGGCATATTACCCTTTTACTATATAGGATAGAGGCCTGGTGCACGGGTGGGGGCCGGCTGGTTTGCCCTGAAGGGTGTCCTGGATCAGGGGTGGGGGTCCCCTCTGGGGTGCCTGGCCAGGCTGGCTGAGGGGCTGAGGGCTGTTTTCCCGCTGGCAGTTGACTAAAAGCTCCCAACCGCTCCTTGTTTTCTTTTCTTTTTTTTTTTTATTCTGGGCCAGCTTTAGCTCTGAGGCCTCGCTGCTGAAAACATGGATACAATGTTGCGGTCTGGGGCTGACTGAAAGCCGGTTTTGTTTAGCTTCTTATTTGCAACTTAGTAATAGTTGCTTAGAGTTGCAGTTGAGAGTCCAGCAAGTGAGGTGGGGAACGTTGGAGTCTGCAGTTCCTGGAGGAAGCAAGCCTCCCTGCTCGCTTCAGTGCATGGCTGCCGGCCGCCATCTTGGCTGACAGTTAATTTGCATAAGGATACGCTGATTAGCCAATGGGAAGGGTAGCTGTCGTACGCCATTTACCATGTTTCTCTTTTATTAGTGTAGATGTTTACTTTAAAGCAAATCCAAGACATGATGTCATTTGATCCCTATATGGGTGTTTCTTTTTTACATAACCACAGTGTCATTTTCACATCTGACAAAATTAACAGTGATTACTTATGATACAATATAGGCTGTCTACAAATTTTCCCAATTGTTTTAAAAGTATATTTCACTGTCATACATTTGGTTGTTTGAGGTCATTTGCTTTTTATTGATTATATTGTAAAATCCTGATTACTATGTCTTAAAAAGATAGAATCTTATTTTAAGAACATACCAACAAAACCCACTTTTCCTACTTCATTGAAAGACAAAGTGAAGTGTGCTATAAATAAATAAAATACATAACAGAGTACCTGATGAAAAAATTTCCATTTCCAATAGAAAACCCCTTCTCAAGCATTGCTACTCCAACACCCTATGTTAATTTTTAGTAAAGTCCTTAGTTTTAGGCAAGGCTTAATCGGGATGGTCTGACTTAACTTGTACCAAGTAGGACTCTTTATAAAGTATCTTTAATACCACTTTGAAGCCATACAGATAGATTTAACTGTAAGAAAGCACGAGACTGCCAAAATGTCAGACTTTACAATTGAACATACTGGTTTCTGAACTGTCTTCCTGTAACCTTGCCTGAACCTGAACAAAGTGGCTCCTGCCTTGGTTTCTACACCTGTGGCTTTGGACTTTTTTTGATCTCTCACTAAACTCAGAAATACATGTTTTACATTAAGATTTGACTACACACACACCCCTCAAGTAAAAGGGTCTTGAAGCAGTACTTACCTTATGTTTGAAGCACTGTTGATATTTTAATTTAGGCTGTAACCCATTGAACTGATTCCATGAATTGATTTGGAAAATAGTTGGCATAGTGATTACAAGCATAAGCTTTAGCATCTAGGGTACCAAGATTCAAATGTCAACCAAGATCAGGTACTAGCAGCACGTCCATGAAACTCAGTTTAAATGTGCTTTGTGTACAGTTTTTCAGGAAACATTTATGTCATGGGAAATATAATTCTACTTCCTTATACTAATCTGTTAAGACTTATTCCTTAGATTACTACATATGTTATCCCACATCAGAAAGTCACTATTTCCTCACTTAGACCCGCATTCTATTCTGGGATTTCCCAAGGGGGATGACCTCAGGTGGCCAGAGTTGCAGAAACGTCTTCTCCCTGCCCACTTTTATGTGACTTCTGCCATTTAGCAGTATATCTGGGTGAGACAAATAGTGTGTGGCTTTAACACAGGTATTACTATGGATGTGAAAAGGGCTTGCTTTCATTTTTTTTTAAAGATTCTTAATTAATATACAGTGGCTGCCTAGTAAAGGGCGAAAAAGCAGTCCCTTGTGGGAGGGTATGGGTTTTCTGCCCATTTCTGGAATGATTTGTGCCAATAGTATATTTATGTAACATCCATCTTTTTTTTATATATATATATATTTTATTGATTTTTTACAGAGAGGAAGGGAGAGAGATAGAGAGTTAGAAACATCGATGAGAGAGAAACATCAATCAGCTGCCTCCTACACACTCCCCACGGGTGATGTGCCCGCAACCCAGGTACATGCCCTTGACCGGAATCGAACCGGGGACCTTTCAGTCGGCAGGCCGATGCTCTATCCACTGAGCCAAACCGGTTTCGGCTGTAACATCCATCTTAGTAGTTACCATGTACCCAGGACAGTGCTCTATAACACTCTTTTCTAAATCCTAATAAACAACTGTGAATTAAAGACTACTATTAAGTCCATTTCACAGATAAGGAAACCAACACAGGATAGTTAACTTGCCCAAGGTCACAAGTCTAGTAAATAACAGAGTTGGGATTTGAACTTAGGAAGTCTGGCCCCAGACTCTGAGCTTTTAACCACTTTGCTATTGCTTATAACATAACTTCTACAACCAACCACAAATTAGGAAGATTTTTTTTAAATTGAGGTATAATTGACATATAACATATTACTTTCAGGTATACTATATAAGGATTTACTATTTGTACATACTGCAAAAATGGTCATCACAATAATTCTAGTTAACATTTATCACCTTACAGTTACATTTGTTTTTCTTGTGATGAATACTTTTAAGATTCACTCTCAGTAACTTTCAAATATGAAATATAGTTTTATTAATTATAGTTGCCATGCTGTACAATACATCCCAGGACTTCTTTATTATATTTATTTAAAATTTATTTATTTTTACCTATTTTGACCCCCTTCGCCCATTTTTGCCTTACCCCCCCCCCCCCACCCACACCCAACCTCACCTCTGGTAACTACCATCTATTCTCTGTGTCATAAAGAGCATTTTTTGTTTGCTTAATGATTAGGTGAATGCTAGCTATTTTAATCTGTATCCCAAATGATGAGTATGGATTTTTGAAGTTTTAGAATGTTTCAGGAATTTGTCCCAGAACACTAGTCATCTTTTCTGTTCTGATGTATATGTTAACTGGAAAAATAAAATTATATGAATGGGTTAGATATTTTTAGCTTCTGATGGGTGGTTATGAATTATAGATTACTCTAACATAAGCTACACTGGAGTAGGAGTCAAAATAATGAGTTCAAGTTCTGATTCTTCTGTTTTCTAGACACAATGAGGCAAGTCACCTACCCTCTCTGCCCTTGTTGCCCACCATGTGCCAATTCTAAATGATTGGGATATTTGCAGGTGCTTTTTAGCAATGTAAAGCTCTCCTTATTCTAATTGTCTGGCAACATTTATATTATCAAGAAGTGGCTAGGTTTGGAAAAAAATCATTCCGTTCATTATTCTGTCTTTAGACTTGAGAAAAATTATGTCTGTGTATGTGAATTATGCGTATAAGCTAAATGTATTCCCAGTATTTAGGAGAGGGCAAAATAAAATGTAAAGTTCAATGTATACCCTAGAGACTATGTTAAAATTATATGTTCCTTTTAAGAAAAGCAGAATGACATTTAAATGACATTTTTCTGTTCTACAGAAACCAAAGGCAAATACCAAAGTAATTTGTAAGCGTTGCAAGGTAATGTTGGGAGAGACCATGTCATCAGGTAAGAAAAAGCCAAAATGATTGCCTTTTTGTTAAAAAGCCAATAGAAGGAGGTTTTATAGGAAATATGTATGAAAGAGAGATGACTAATGTATGTTATAGAATTCATACTTTTATTTATTTATTTATTTATTTTAGAATTTATACTTTTAAAAATAGAAATCAACTAACATCCAATAGGCTAAGAACTTTGTGTATTTTGACCTTTATAACTACATGGTATTGAATTTTAAGCATTAAGAAGTAGGGTCATTTGTAATATTCACATTCTCTGTAGATATAAAGCAATTATATAAACTTTGTAGTTGGGTCTGTCTTAAAGAAGATTGGAGATTTTTTTCTTAACACAATTCCTCAATCAGAAGAGTTGGTTGCCAGAGATGATGGAAAAGTTGCTTGTCTTGGCTGCCCTCTGCCTCAGGGATATATTTTGGGGCTAAGGGTGGGAGAGAACCTTTTGAAATGGAAGAAAATACATTTTGAGTTTTGTACTTTGCTCCTTATTCTTCCCAATAATGTTAATTATATTTTATATAAAGTCTTAGGTTATACTGCTTTGAAATGTAATAATGAAAATCCTAGTAATTAAAATGTATACTATTTAAAGATATAGTTTAAAAATATCTACAGCTACAACATGCTGTGGTAGCTTTGTGGGAGATGAATAATTGTTTTTAATATAATCGGAATCTTGTAAGTAGTTACTTCCTTGGAGTGAACAGAAAGGGAAGAATGAGCAGCAGTAGAGGATGCAGTCCTCTTCACTGTTATTTTTGGAGAATGAAAGCAAGCCCCTTAAGCAACAACTTAGAAAATTTAAGTTAGATAAATTGAATTATTTTTTTAAATGCTTTTCACTCCTCCCTGAAGTCTAGTCAAAATGTATGTTGAGTAATTAAAAAGATAGACATGCGCAGTAACAAAGAGAAATAGAGAGGACATAGCAGTGATGTAAACAAGAGATGTAGGCAAACTTTTCGAAGCTATAAAGCTGAGTGACACCCTTGGGAACAAACTTGGCAGTGTGGGGAGAGCCACAGCCTAAGTGTCTGCAGAAGGTTATCTGGGTGAGAAGTGAGCCAGTCTTCATTGTAGAACCCCAGAACTGGTTACAATTGGGGGGCAGCAGGAACAGGGAAGGCAGTCTGAGACAAAGAGCTGGAAGCAGGATGATTGATATAGTTGATATGGGGAGCTCCTGTTTCTCCTCCTCCCCTTGCAACTTGCTTATACTTTCAAGCTAGGAGATTGGAGAACCCTTTCTTGAAGTAATGGAAGAGTACCAGTCAGAGAAAAGATTTGGAGACACAGATTCTTAGGGATCATTCAACAAAATTGAGCTTTTATTCAACTATCCTACAATCAACAAGCCTTATACCTACACCCAAAAGCTTTCCCTTAGCATTTTTTTACCTTACACTTAAATATGAATGGATTGCTGACAATCAACAAAAATTTGAGGGAAATTCCCACAGGAAAGAGACCAAAGCAAATAAATAATCAAGTTAGCATAGCAAAGGCACTGAGAAGAAACAAATTATGTATAAAATAGAAGAAAATCTTTTCAAAAGCATAATAAATGTCCTTGAAGAATGAAATAATACTACCTCCATAATTCGGAGAATATAGAATTAAAGGTGTAATGACTTAAAAAACTAACCATAAAATTAAGGCGCTAACTTAGAAATCAGAAACAATTGACAGACTGAAAATTGGGAAAGGAAGTATTAAAAAAAATCATCACGTAAGTTTCTGGAGGATAAGGATATTGTCTATCTCATTTATCATGTAATCCCAGCACTTAGAACATCTGGCACATGGTGGGTATCTAGTAATATTTGTTTAATGAATGAATGCATTGAGCCTTTTAGGACATCTAACATCTAGGTAATGGGAATTCTAGAAAAAGAGAATAGCGACAATAGAGTGTAGGGAATTATCAAAGGACAAAAAATACCAATATTTTCCAGAGCAAGGGCTTAAGTTTGTCAATAGAAAGGGCCCACTAAGTGTCAAGTATAATTAATGGAGGAATAGTTAATGGAGGAATAGCAGGGAAGCTACTCCAAGCCACATCATTGAGTAATTTCTGAACACCAAGGATGAAGTTTCCAGAGAGAAAAAAAGGAGGTAGTTGGGCAAGGATTAGGAATTAGAACTTCACAGCAGTATTTAAAGCTAAAAGACAATGAAGCAATACCTTCATAATTTAGAAGAAAAAAGATTTTTAACCCAGAATACTATACACAGACAAACCATGAATCAAGTATGAAGATAACAAATACATTTCTGGAAATAACATGATTGTAAAATATAGATCACACAGGTATATTTTCCTTAGGAATCTAGCAGAGGATATTTATCACCAAAACTAGGGATTCAGTCTGAAAGAGAGAGGACATGGGATTTAGGAAACAGATTATCTAACACAGAAGAGCAAGATAAAGAAGTCTCAGGATGAGGGATGTGCAGCAGGCCTAGAGAATAACAGCCTGAGGTGAATCAGGAGGAGAGAAGATTGCAGTAAAGGCGTTTTCAGTTGTAAGTGAAACTGATAAATTTTTTTATTTGTTTGATCACATGAAACAAATAATCTTGAGACAAATCACTTCATCACATGGGAAGAATTAGCTAAAGGTGCTCGTAAAATTAAACACATGAAAAAGAAAGCAATTATGCACTGCAGGAAAATAGAAGACTGAACAAGAAAGGAAACATTGCCATTGTATCATCATGATCTCCATAGTGTAAACACTGAATATTGATTTAACCAAAAAATCTTTATGATGTAATATATAAGTATATTTGGGGGGGTCAATATATGTTGAGGGTGGTGTGAGGTGAGGTAAGAGAGAGAGATTCACCTCTACTTTGAAAGTAAATTAGTAGGACTCCACTTTCAAAAACAGTGCTATAAAGAATAGTTCCTTTCTGTAGAAAACAAATACAGGACTGTACAAGTTAAAAAAATTAAGAACAATCGCTGGAAGACCAGAATGAAGCAGTGATTTGAAGAATGATTTAGTTATGAGAAACTGCTATTGCTTTTGCTTAGATTGGCAGATTTGTACCCTTGTCTCTTGGGGGCATTGCCATGCTCCCTGCCTCAGCTTGGGCAGGAAGCACTCAGCTTTATTGTTTACAGGTGGTAATTTTGGTTGCGGAAGAAACTGGAAATTAAAGAGGAAAAATTTGGGAGCATCAGGGCCATAGAAGGGCTGAGATGTTACCTTCTTCGCACAACTCTGGCTGACTGCTAAACTATACGTGCATGCAATAGATGCAGAGAGTTCAGTAAGCATTGAAAGCTTGGGGAGACCTGCAAATTTGCTGTACCTTGGATTGCATTCTTCAATCCACATACAACTTGGGCAGCAGAAGGTGGGAGCCTTACTGGCTTGAGGTGTTTGAGCAGAACTTCTTCCCAAATTTGCTGACAGCTAAACGATACAAGTACAGTAAATACTCTCTAGTGAACCGGCCAAACAAAACAGCAGAGTCATAAGAGGCTACACACTGTGGAAAGGCATATTTCACAGTTTGAATCCGGGCTATATCTATAAACCAGTAACCCTTAAGAGAGCAAAAGACAATCCAGAATTGCTATAATGTATTTCATATGATGTCTTACTTCCATCTAGAAATTGTAGGCAAAGAGATGGAACAGAGTGATTCATACTCAAGGAAAAAAACAGAATTCAATAAACAGGTGCAGAGTGAGCACAAACATTAGATTTAGCAGACAAAGGTATTGAGCAGCTATTATAAATATGGCAAAGAATTTTAAAAAGCCTCTTGAGTGAACAAAGGGCAAATCTCAACAAAATGGAAACTTAAAAGAAAGAACCAGTTGATAATTGCAGAGCTGACAATTATAGTAACTGTAAAATCATTGGATTAGCTAAGCCACATATTTGAGATGACAGAAGAAAAAAAATCACTGAAGTAGATTAATAGAAATTAATCAACCCAAAGAACAGAAAGAAAAAAGTCTAAAGCATAATGAATAGAACCTCAGAGATTCGTGGTATAATCTTAAGTTTTTCAATAAATGTGTAATTGGAGTCTCAGAAGGTGAGGAGAAAAACAAAGGTCAGGAAAAAAATTATAGAAAAAAATGGCTGAAATATTGGCAAATTTGCTGAAAAATATTAACTTTCAGATCCAAGTACTGTAATGAATCTCAAATAGAATAAACAAAAAAGAACACTTCACCCAGGCACATTATAATCAAACTGATAAAACCTAAAAGTGAAAAGCCCTGCCAGTGTGGCTCAGTGTTTGAGCATTGATCTATGAACCAGGAGGTCACAGTTCAATTCCCGGTCAGGGCACATGCCTGGGTTGTGGGCTCGATCCCATTGTGGGGCATGCGGGAGGCAGCCAATTGATGATTCTCTTTCATCACTGATATTTCTATCTCTCCTTCCCTGAAATAAGAAATATATATTAAGAAAAAGCTAAAGATGCAAAGAGAATATTCAAAGTAGCAAGAGCAAAACCAAATATCACATATAGGAATTTCAGGATATAATTGAGGCTGACTTATGGAAATAATGACAGCCAGAAGACACTAAAATGAGACATTCAAAATGCTAGGGAGAGGGAACACCTGTCAACTAACAATTCTATACCCAGCAAAATTGTCTTTTCAAAAGGAAGGCACAATGAGGACATTTTCATATAAACAGATGGAAATAATGTATTACTAGCAGATCTTCTCTACAGAATATTCTCAGGAAAGTTATTCAGGCTAAAGTAAAAGATACCAGTGGTAATTGGAATCCACAGGAAGGAATGAGGAGCAAGATAAATGGAAATTTTGTGGAAATTACCACAAAAGCAAACTCAAAAGAGTTTAGCACAAAATCGAAGCCACCTTTCCCTGCAATTTGCCAGTTCTCTAAAATTAGAACTTTTATTTTGGTTGCTTTGGGAAGTAAGGATAGAAATCAAAGACTATACAAGATGGGAACCTAGTAAGTGCCTATACAAAAATATGAGATGCTGAAGAGTCATATCTTAATAGTGAAGGTGAATCAAAAGCAGATCAGCTCTATGGAATCACAGACAAGTATCAATCCTTTGGGACTTTAGGATATTTCAGGTCTTGAAACTTGGTTATTCTGCTTTGTACAGACATAACACTGTGCGCCTGGCAAAATCAAATCACTTATGGAGGAAGGTATCTTCACTGTAAAACTTATATTATTCTCACAAAATCTGTCAAGTGCAGTGTTCACTATATAACCAAACATAAGTAAGCAAACAAGTAAATTATTATTTGTTCCATCAATAAGAACAAAAACAGCAAACAATAGAAACAGACTTCTGTTATTGGAATTTTCAGATGTAAACTGAAAAACAACCACCCTGACTATGTTTAACAATAAAAAAGGCAGACTTGATCTCAAAAGGAAAAGGAAACTACATTTGGAAAAGATTCACAATAGAATTTTTAAAAAATATATAAAAATAAAAAATATTTATATATATATATAACATTATGTGTGTGTGTGTGTGTGTGTGTGTGTGTGTGTGTGTGTGTGTTATAATTGAGTCCTTGCTGGTGTGGCTTAGTTGGTTGAGCATTGTCCAGTGCACCAAAAGGTCACCAGTTCCATTCCCAGTCAGGGCACATGTCCAGGTTGTGGATTCAGTCACTGCTCAGGGTGCATATAGGAGGTAACCGATTGATGTTTCTCTTTCACATCAGCATTTCTCTTTCTTTCTCCCCTTTTCCCTTCCTCTCTCTAAAATCAATAAACAAATTTAAAAGTAATAATAATAAATTATAATTGAAATGTAAAATTCAGTGAGTGGTTTAATGGCAGAGTAGGTACAATTTGGAGAAAGCATTAATGAACATAAGATACCTAAGCAAAAAAAAAAAAAAAGTCTGTAATCTGACACAGAGACAAGAAGATATATAGGAGAGAGTAAGGGACATAAATTATACTCTGAGAAGATCTAACGCATGTTTAACCAAACTTCTAGAAAGAAAAGAGAAGTAGAATGGAACATAGACAATATGTAAAGAGATAATTGCGGACAATTTTACAAAACATGGAGAACAAAAATCTGCAGATTCAAAAAGTCCAGTGAATTCTAATGATATGAGGCCCAAGAAAGATAAATTAAAACAAATTCATAGCTAGACACAGTGACACTAGAGAAAAATGAAAAGCAAAGAGAAAATCTTAAAAACAACCAAAGAGAAATGACAGATAACCTTCAAAGGAACTGTAGTAATGGACTTTTGAAGAGAATGGAATGATAGTGTCAGTATGACCATAGGTCAAAAACAGTTAACCTAAGATTTCATGTCAGGTGAAAATGTCCTGATATGAAAAAATCAAGACAAAGATAAATATATTTTCTGACAAATAAAAACAGATATTTCACCTCTAGTGGTTTGGTTTCTTATTAAAAGAAATTTTACCTATAGAAGAAAGTGATCCCAGATAGATGGTCTAAATTCAAGAAGGGTTGGTAAAAACGTGATAAATATGTGGGTGACACTAAATTAATATTAACTGTATAAAACAACATTAATAATAATAACCTGTGAGATTAAAATAATAGAGTTAAATTATTTTAACAGCAGCTGAGGTAAAAGGGATCACTTCATAAAATTACAAGGTTCAGTTCTTCATTTAATAAAATGACTTCAAAATAGTAAAGTGAAAATGAACTTCAAAGAAAAATAAATTCATTATGGCTCTAGATATATAATAATCTATTAAACAGTATTGATTTTTTTGGCCTTTTTTGTATTGGGCAATTGAAAACATTTTTAGAAAATATACTAGGAACAAATTTTATCTTATAAAAACAAAAATTATTTGGTACATTATTTTTAATGACTAAATAGAATTCTTGTCCCTAAATGTATAATTGTTTATTTAACCCAACCATCCTTAATTTTTAGACATTTAATTTTTCAATATTTTTCTATTATGAGCATCATTATATGGATACATTTTTGGAGATACCTATGAGTATTCCTTTGAGATAAATTCTTATGGTATCAAAATATATACACATTTTTAAGGCCTTTGACAAGTGGCTTTCCAGAAATACATAATTTTCAATTCTGACAACAGTCTGCGAATGTGTACCCATTTCTCTATGTGTTCATTAGTGCTGCACCTTATCATTAAAATTATTTTATTTGTTTGATGCAAAAATAATTTCATTTTAATTTGTATTTCCTTCATTGCCAGTGAGAGTACATCTTTTTCATGGATTTTTAAATAATACAAAATGGTTGTGTTTATATTTATTTCTATGAGATATTTAGTTTACTGTTTAAATTTTTCTGTAAACTAAGTAATCAGACAACCAGATTTGATGGGAATTGTACTTTTATAAACTCAGTGAAATTTTGGGTAAATACTAATGTAAGGTTCACAGCGTCTGTGCAAGGGCTTTAGGTACTATGACTAAAAAGCCTTTTTCAGTGACTTCTAGGTTTGTAGCTACTCTGTAGAAATGCAGAAACCAAGCGACTAGTTTCTAGATAATAGGCCACAGCTGTGTGACTAATTTTTATAATCTCCCACATGTGTGAGCAGAGTCTTGCTACATCAGATGCACTTGGAACATGCTCTTCTGAAGTGACACCATTGATAATAGGCCACAGCTGTGTGACTAATTTTTATAATCTCCCACATGTGTGAGCAGAGTCTTGCTACATCAGATGCACTTGGAACATGCTCTTCTGAAGTGACACCAAGCTGTCTGAAGTATCAGGGCTGTCTCCTTGTAGTCATCAAGGCTTTATCTTCTTAAACTCAGTCACTTTTTAAAAACTTTTACAGAATTTTAATTTTACCAGTATATCTACTATTTAGTTTGAATGTCATAATTTGGGACCAACATGCCCACAATAAAAATATTAGTGTGTTGGGGAGATTTTTTATGTTCTATTTTTTCTTTCTAGAAACTATTAAGTTTTATATGACAGAGGTGATTATGCAGCCATCTGAGAGAAATTTTCCCATCATACCAAGGTACAATAGCAAATTATATTTATTCTGTAATTTCAAATGTAGGAAAAGATAGGTACAATGGATTACTTGGGAATTCATTTTTATTTATACTTCTCTTTACTTGGAAAGGTTAGTTGGACCAAACCACACTTGTAAAAGACTTGAGGATATATTTATGGTTTGCTTACATGATGTTATAGACAAATGTGCTCATATAAATCTAATTCAGATTTTTTTGTTTCTTTCTATGTGCCAGATATCCAAGGTCTTATAACCTAACCATCAATAAGTTTTTGAATAATTATTTTTGGGTGTAATTTGATGTACTTAAAATTTGAGACATGGTTCAGTTTCCTAATGTTTTGTGTGGGGTTTTTTTAAGTGGTACTTAGCCACTAAATCCATTAGTGTTTCTTTTCTTCGAATTGTTTTAGTTTGCAAACAAAAGTTAACTATAGTATATATGTCTTTATTTTAGTGCATTATTGATGTCTAATGATTTTGGCAATCTAAATATAACCCTAAACTTTATTCTCCTATAAATGCTTTCTTAGGTACCTAAGATCTGATACTTTAACAGTGGTTCTCAACCTTCTGGCCCTTTAAATACAGTTCCTCATGTTGTGACCCAACCATAAAATTATTTTTGTTGCTACTTTATAACTGTAATGTTGCTACTGTTATGAATCGTAATGTAAATATCTGATATGCAGGATGGTCTTAGGCGACCCCTGTGAAAGGGTCATTTGACCGCCAAAGGGGTCGCGATCCACAGGTTGAGAACCACTGCTTTAGGGGATCCAAATGAAAATACTGTAGATAATGCTGCCTAATGTTTGGGAGGAAATGTTTTGCCTTTTTAAACTTAGTTATTCACTGTTTAATGTGCAGCACAAGTGGAACATTGACTTGTCTGACATACTTTGTTTTTGTTTTGTTAATTCTCACCTGAGGATATTTTTCCCATTGCTTTTCACAGGGAGGGAGAGGGAGACAGAGAAAGAGAGTGAAACATCAATGTGAGAGAGACACATCCACTGGCTGCCTCCCAAATGTGCCCCAACTAGGGGTAGGGGGCTGAATCCACAACAGAAGTACGCACCCTTGACCGGGAGTCAAACCGACAACCCTTCAGTGTGCAGGCTGACACTCTAACCACAGGGCTGACATACTATTTTTTATTCAGTTAGGTTTGGGGTGGAAAATGTATTAAGGATTGGAGAATAGGATATAAGAAGACTAGAGCAAATACATTAAAATATATTAAAATCCACATTAGCACAGGTTGTGAGGGAAGGGGTGGCATATAGAAGAATCTGGCATGCACGTGCCTCTGTCTTTTAGGTACCCTGTGGGTATTTTTGGCTCGTCTTGCCATTTAGAGTTATTATGAGAGGCACATTGTGAAAATTTATTTCTGTTCAAACAGGTCTAAGTTTGTACAGAGCACTGTCGCTCAGTGCCTAGTGGAACTCTCCTCTGCTAGAAGCACTTTTAGATTCAGTGTTCAAGGTCATGACAGCAAACCGTACATCTTGGTAAGAAATTATTTCACTCAGCTTTTTGTCGCCCTAGTAACACAGGGTCTCAGTAATTCTTTAGTTTTTGTCATTCTTTTTTCTTAATTCTCAGGTCTAGAAAACAATTGATTTAAAAAACAAAGAATTTTTAATGTCAGCTTCATTTGAATATCAGTTTAATTCACAAATAGAACTTCCTTAACTTAGTAACAAATGATCCAATGCTTCTATGTGCTAGATACTAGGGATATAGAAAGAAATACAACCTGATTCCTGCTCTGTAGAAGCTCATAACACAAAACAGAGTTTTCACTCAGGTTTTAATGGTTTTTCTTGGTCAGTATAACAGAATTCTGTTTCTTTTTTTTTCTACTTGATACTCTTATGAATTTTTTTGTTTGTTTCGTGGTAAGAAAACTTAACATGAGACCTACTCACTTCACAGATTTCTTTTAAGTATGTTTTTATTGATTTCAGAGAGATCCAGGGAGCGAGAGAGAGAGAAGAGAGAACCATGGATGAGAGAGAAACATCCATCAGCTGCCTCCTGCACATCCCCTACTAGGGATTGAGCCTGCAGCCCAGGCATGTGCCCTGACTGGTAATTCAATCAGCCACTCCTGGTGCATGGGATGACGCTCAAACAACTGAGCTACACCAGCTGGGACACTTCACAGATTTTTAAGTGCACAATACAGTATTGTTAACTATAAGCACAGTACTTATAGCAGGTCCTCATTTCTCCCTCCCCCAGCCCCTGGCAACTCCCATTCTACTCTCTACTTCTATGAGTTAGACTATTTTAGATTCCTCATATAAATGGGATCATGCATTTTTTTTTCTTTTGTCCTTCTGTGTCTGGCTTGTTTCACTTAGCAAAATGTCCTCAAGTTCATCATCCATGTGGTCTCATATTGTGAGATTTCCTTTCATTATATATAGGTGCCACATTTTCTTTATCTATTCATTCATAGATGGACATTCAGATTGTTTCTACCTTTTGGTTTTGGTAAATAAAGCTGCAGTGAAGCTGGGGTCTCCTGTTTCTCAAGGTGGGACAAACCCTAGGTATGATGTCCTTGTGGGATCAGGCTGAGCCAGACTCCAGCTGAGTTCACATCCTTGCCTGGCTCCTCCCTCCGCCTTATCCTGTTTACCTTACTCCCAGTCTCCTGAGAGTATTCCCTGATTGAATCACATGCATTCAGATCCCCACTCTTCCACCAGCAGCGTTTGGGAATATCCATCCAAAGCCCTCTTCTGAACTGGCAGTATCAATCTTCTTGTATTTGCCAATCGGATAAGTGAAAAAGGGTGGCACACAAATTTTGCATTTCCTTATTGCTAGTTATATTAACATTTTTATATGTTTATCACTTATTTCTTCTGTTAAGGCTATTCATATTCTTTGCATTTCCATTGGGCTGGATTTTTAGGAGTGCTATATATTATAGACAATAACTTTGTTATATATGTATTAAATACTTCTTTCTAGCTAGTTGTCTTTTTCTTCTTTTTTTCAAACTTTATCATGTTGTTTACTCTACCAAGGTTATACTTTGAAAGACTAACCTTCCTTAAAAATTATATAGATGGTTCTCTTATATTTTTTCTGATATTTTCATAGGTTTGTTTTGTGTTTGTTTATTTGAGTGGTGATATGAGATAGGGGTTATACTTGGACTTTTCTCTCCTTATCTTTAGCTATGGCTTTTAAACTCAGACAGTTTGGTGATTGAATCTTTGGCGAGTTCCAGAAGTGTCAAAAAGTTTCCCTTATTGGAAGACATATCGAAGGCAGATTCCAGTTCTGCTCAGAATGCTGTCAAAGTCCTCTACCAGCCATGCATCAAAAGTAGGAATGAAAAGTAAGTTGTGCTCTTGTTTTCTCATTTCACATTATGTTTTAGTTTCTGTTGCCATGTTGGTGTTAAGAAATTAATTAATTAAATGCTACTGTACCACTTCCATACTTGAAGCTTCTTGGAGTCATACTCCTAAATGTTATCCTTTAAGAGTAGATTGAATTATTATAGATGATTCATGCTCATGTGCAGAAAGCTTGCTTTTACTGAAAACAATTGGTCTTTTCCTTATAATCTCAGCTGTCTCTACATATGGCTGCAGTACTAAATCAGACTCAACAACTATGAATATTTACTAGTACTGATAAGCAGTTTCCAGGCATTCGGGATACAAGAGCAAATAAAACATAGTCCCTGCCTCCTTGAGTTGTCATTCTAAGAGGGGGAAGGCAGATCATAAACAAAACAGGCAAAAATATCAAAGATTAATGTGGCCCTTGCTATGAGACCAACTCTCATGTAAGGGCTTCTAGCTCATTTAAGTCTATCAGCACTCTGTGGGTAGATACTATTATCACCCCCATCTTCTACACTAATAAAAGAGAAAGATGCAAATTGACCGTACCTTCGCGACTCCCACCAGCCAATCAGGAGTGCGTATGCAAATTAACCCGACAAAGATGGTGGGTTAATTTGCATGCACAGGCACTGAGCAGTGGGGGCGGGGCAGGGCCGCTCTGGGGCTCTGGGCAGCATGGGAAGGTGGAAAGGCCGGCTCTGGGCCGTATGGAAGGCGGAAAGGTGGCTCTGGCAGCCAGGGGAAGGAAGGCCCATTCTTGCATGAATCTTTGTGCATTAGGCCTCTAGTTTAGAGATAAGGATGCTAAGACACAGTGTAAATAGCACAGCTATTGAATATAAAGCTAGGTGAGGTAGTTGGGGAGTGGTAAAATGGGTGTGGAGCTTTTCATTTTATATTGAAAAGGCAAGGACGGTTCTCAGATTAGATGATATTTATTGGAAACTTGAAGGAAGTAGG